CCTTCTCCTCTCTGCTGAAGTGGGCTTAGTGGAGAGTCAGGACCTCTGTCACCACTCAGCAGTAAGTAGGTCAACTCAATGAATTGGAAAGACTCAATACAATGAAGCTGTCGATTCTCTCAAACTTGATACACAAGTTTAACAGTATTCCTATCGAAATCCTTGAAAAAATTTATTGATGTAGATCACATATTTTAAAAGTTATATGCAAAAAATAATGGAACTAGAAGATTCAAAACAATTTTTATAAAAAAAAAAATGGGGGAAGAATCCATCACCTAATTTCAAGACTTGTTATGTAGCTATTTGTAATCCAGCATGTATAGAGGGATGAACACACAGATTAATGGCACAGGAGAGGATCTACAGATGGTATGTAAGCACATCACCATCATTAGATTTTGGAGAAATACAAATTAAAACTAAAATGAGGAATCACTACACTCCTATCAGAATGGCTAAATAAAAATTAGTGATATTACTAAGCGTTAGATGCTATGGGAATATAAAATATAGCTGCTCTATAAGGTTTCTCGGGAGTGTCTTTAAAAACATACATGAAATTATACATAAATTCCATGACCCAGGAATTACAATCTTGGACACTTATCACAAAGAAGTAAAACTTATGCTCACACAAAAACACTACTATAGTAGCAGTATTATTCATAATAAAAAGAAAAAAATGGAAAAACACAGATATCCTAAGTGCGTGAACAGTTTAATAACTGTGGTCCATTCATACTGTGGAACACGACTCAGCAATAAAAAGCTGTGAGTTACCGATACATTTAACAACCAGGATGAGTCCTCAGAGAATTATACTGAATGGGAAGAAAACCTCAGAGTTGACATACTATTATGATTCCATTTACATAATTTTCTCAGATTTACAAAATTCTAGAATTAGAGAACAGATTAGTGGTTACCAGAGGTGAAAGGGTGGGAGCGGAAGGGAAAGCAATACGGCTACAAAGGATAACAAGGCAATGCCTGTGGTAATGACATGTTCTGTGTCTACTCTATCAAAGTGGATGTTCTGATTGTGATGTGGTACTAGAGCTTTGTAAGATGTTACGATTTGGGGAAACTGAGTAAAGGGTGGTGGGTTCTGTTTGTATTATCTCTTACAATGGAATGGGAATCTAATTATCTCAAAAAAATTTTAAATTATAATTTTTTAAAAATTCATAGTAGACAAACATGCTAAAACCAGCCCTTGAAAGCCGTCTGTAGAAACTGAAGCATACAAAGGGGAGCGGGGGGTGGGGGTGGGGTGGGGGTGGAATGAGAATTAAGAGGGAAGGTTGCACAATAGACTATGGTAGTGACTATGGGTGATGCAGTGGTGGGTGCGCCACAGTGGCAAATATCTGGGGGGTGGAGGAGGGGAGGATCGTATACTTCCAAAAGACCAACAATAATGCAAGCCAATCTTACTCAATAAAAAAAATAAATAAAACTCAATTATTGATTGAAGGAAAAATCAATGCTAACATCACACTAATTGCACAAGAGAATTAACAGAACTAGACAATAATTCAATGTGAAACAGCATTTTATTTGTAGAATTCTGCCATATTTCTAGAATGTTTGCCATATTTTATCATCTCTATTATGAATTGAAAAAATAATAAAACAAAAATTGAAACACCTATAAGTTCTCTAAAGGACACTTCTAAAGTCTTCCTCTCTCCCTTCCTCTCTGTTCCTTTCAGCTATTATTCCATAAAAAGAATACCTGTCTTCATTTTGCCAGACAAAACCATGGTCACAATTTTAAGCTGAGAGAGATAATATCATTAAAGAGTAATGGGTTTAAGACTTATGACTAGGAAGGAGTGAAAGAAGGGAGTAAGAAAATAAACAACTGAAAGAAGAGAGAAGGGAAGGAGAAATTTTATGCTTAGAAATTGCTCTATTCCAGGCACTATCTAATAGTTAACTCATTTTTTGCTCAGACCATCCCTATGAGGGAAATATAATAGTATGAGATCTGTCATACACATTAGAAAATTGATGTGATGTCAATGAATAATAAGTCAACTTCCACTTAGAAGAAATTCAAAATGCTCAATATCTTGAAATAAGAGTACCAAAAATCCAAATATATTAATATTCCAGAGTATTATTAAAAAATTAATTAAATATTAAAAGGCAACTATTTCAACAAGCTCAAAAGAAATGAAGGTATGAATCAGAAGATATGTCATTGCTTGGTATTTTAAAAATATAAAATGGGGAATAAATGGTTGAACAAGCAGACAGGCCATACTCAACCAGTTTTGTGGATCCCCTATCTTTAAATTCTTGGCATTATTAGCATCATTAGTAGTAGTAATCATTTGTCAACTACAATATCTTTTTTTAAACACTCTTCCCTTCTCAGGCATTTTTGACTTCATATTTTCTTGAACTCTAAATGTTTGGGGCAAAGAGAATTTTTCAGGAATAGTCTTTTCTTCCAAACAACCAAATAAAGACAAGAATAATTATGCAGTATGTATGCAGAGGAAATAAATCTTAATTAGCTCTTGACCTGCTGCCGAGCTCCTTTGTGAATGCTATCTCAGCAAACATATGTTCTGCTCTTTTATTTTATGTAGTAATAAACACCAGAAGTGCATGTCAGTTAACACACATTTGAGGTGCGAGGAGAGTACATTCAAATCCTTTTATCCACGTGGAAATTATAAAATGATCTGCATTAATCATTTGTTCTACTCCAAATGAAATATATGTCCAAAGAGACTATTTGAAGCATTTATTGTCATTGAACATATGGCTTGTTTTCAATATCTCCCTGATAATTTCCAACACAAATATAAATAGGAGAGGAATGGACGTTTATTCTACCAGATTTTAAAACAGACGTCAATTATATTGAAGTGTCCCATAAGGGACACTAACTTTGTTATTGACATTGTAATGGAGGCAGCTGACTACTGTAATTAGCAATTGATCTTAGTGGTATGCACATTTGTAGTCAAATGAAGAGGACTTGAATTCCATTCATAAGGAACATAGCATTAGTACAAATCTCTACCTGTTCAAAATACCATGTGCTATTAAAAATTTAATGTGAAATAATCACAAGCAATAATCCTAGTAATAAATTACTAAAGCTATCACTTGTAAACACACACAAAAAAAATTAAAAATAAAGGCAAAATATTTTCTTCAAAAAGGGGGGCGTAGAAAGAGAAGTTGGGAAGAGAATAAAAGAATGTGTTATCACCTTAATACCATACAGGATTTCATTAAAAAACTGTGTTTTCAAGAGACACACCATTATTTCTAAATATCTTTAAGAATAGGTAAATTTAAAGAGAATAAGATTTTTAATTATATAAATCTTGGGAAAATAGCAGTGATGGTACAAAATACTTATGTTTATAACAGGAGTGACGAAGTGCATATCTGGCACAGCTCCCACTATGATGAACCAACTTAAGAACTCACGTTCTTACCACCTCACAGTCACACATAGCCACTGACAAAACCTAATAAATTCTGCCTCTTCAATGTTCCTTCTCTTTGTACCCTCTTTTCATTTCTTACTGCCCATCTCGGACAAGGGCCCAAAATCTGCCTAAGCTACTGTGAGATTACTTCGATGTCTGCTTCAATTTATCTGGCAAACTAATCACAGATATCTCTGTGTTAATCTGAAGTTTGATTAGAGGTGTGGTCTTCAGAGCAACAGATGACAAATTTAAATTTGTGGCTAAGAATCTTCCAAATTGGTAAAGATGTCTACCAGGCGACCTGTTATCAAAGGTTCTTCCATCTGAGGCAAAGTGTGTCCTTCTCTTCATTCTTCCATAGCCATCAACTACCAGAGAGAGGCATGGTGCTCTAGGATGTGCCATTTTCTGTATGAAGTCGAGTATGTTATCAAACTATTTTGGTCTCAATTGTTTAAATTACCAGTTAATAATCTCTTTCCAAGATTTTTTTTCAGTCTTGTTAGAAAGACTAAAAAGGATAAAAGAAATGACTTTTTTAATTAAAGGAGCAATACTATTATTTCTTAATATAAAGTTAAGACATTTAGATTCAGGAAAAGCCCCACAGAAGGAGGACCTAAACTACATCTAATTCTTCAGAGGTGAGACAGAAAGAGAAAGAGAGAAACAGAGAGAGGAAAACTGATTCCATTTTGAGAATAAAGACAGATCCTGATGGTTCAATGATAACACCACCTTGGAATCATGTCTTCCCCTAATGTCCACCCTCCAATCAGTAGTTTTGGAGTACCTCGAAGACCCTTTCCCACCATGACTTTATCCACCTTCTCTTTGTCAGTAAAACCCAGCATCACCCCTATTTGCTCAAGCCAACTATCCAGGAGGCATCTTTTGTCTAGCCCTTCTCTCGCTCCCTATATTCACTCAGTCCAATAGCGAATTCTTCCAGTTGCAGCTCCAAAACAGATTCTGAACCTGTCCATTTTTCTACAAATACTCTAATACTCTACTAACACTCTTTCTAGTTCAAACTACATCATGGGTCTCTCTAACAGTCTTCCTATTTTCACTCTTGCTGCCTGACTCTCCACTCACCCAAATTATAGTGAAGTCAAAAGATAATGAAGGGACCAAAATAGACTCACTATGCAAGCTATGTAGAAGTAGAAATGTCCTGATCTTCAATAAGTGAACTCCATTTGGTTCTCAAGACCCAGTCTGCCTATAGAGCAGACAAGTTACCCCATCTCATCCTGATACTAAGATTGATAAAGTGATATTCCAGTCAAATTCAAGCATCATTATCTATCACAATCTATTTTCAAGCTACTCACTTTTCTTTGGAATTTTCTTTGCCCCACCCATCTCCTACCCCTTGTCCTTATTAGCTGTTTCTTAGTGACTCGGGTGGCATATGAGTATGCAACTGAGAGGCAGAGAGAAGAGGAACAAATCTGGTTGGATACTCTCTCCAGCCTCCTCTTTAATGTTAGCTTTAACTGATAGACAGTGGTATCCTCAGACACAGACCTCACACTACCTGGCCTCTAAGGGATCATATTACAATGACTCTTGAGGTCTCCAATCTTGAAGTCAATAAAACTCTTGTTCTTCATTCTCCCTGTCTTGACCCTAGGAGTTTTCCAATTTCTCCAAGGCATCTGAGACAGAAAAGGGAGATAGAAGAAGATCAGAAGTATACCTCTGTTCTCACCCAGAAGATTGATATATCTCTTACAAGGATGTGCAAGCCACTCCCACCACTGAGATTCACTCACTTTCTTACCCCCACTATTGATAAGAATGTTTCAAACATCCCCTATAGTCCATTATAACAACATAATTTTCCACGGCTCCAACTCAGGTTCAAAACCCAAAAATGTTTGCCTCCAATCCCATTTCTTGGTATATGTCCAAGAGTTGGAAACAGGACCTCAAAGAGATATTTGCACATTCTTGCATATTACAACATTACTCACAATAGCCAAGAGGTAGAAGCAACCCAAATGTCCACTGGCAGACAAATTGGTAAAGAAAATGTGATATATAGATGCAATAGAGTATCATTCCATCTGTAGGAAGAAGGAAATTCTGTCACAAATCTCACAACTTTGAGGACATTATGCTAAGTGAAATAAAGCTGTAACAAAAAGATAAAATATGCTATGATTCTACTTATAAATCTAAATAGTCAAATTAATACAAAAAGAATGTGGAATGTCAGTTAAGAGGAAGTTGGGATAGGGATAAATGGGAATATAGTTAAAATTACCATATTGTACTCTGAAAAATGATTCATTTTGTTTGTGTGTTTTCACCACAATTAATTTTTTTTAATTAACTTAAGTTTGCCTCCAAACTGGAGTATATTACTACATTGGTCTTGAATTTATTTTTTGTACTAAAATTATGAGCAAGGCCTCCCTGGTTGAGTCTCAGCACTGTGAAGCTATCGTCACTGTGTTATAGGACAGGGAGAGGGGCAGCCCAAACCCCGCAAACCTGCCTATTCTAAATGGGTTCTGCCATCCGCCGCATCAACACAAAACATAGGAGACTTTAATGGGAAGGAACTTTAATTAAACTAGGAAACAATACAAGTAAGGCAAAGAGTCTAGTTTCTAAATGAAGCACCCAAAGTTACCCATCCCCTCGTGGGTAAAACTCCATCCATATGGGATTGGCCCAGAACAAGGCCCCAAAGCCTGCTACAAGTCTAAAGCATCTTCCAGTGGGGACCCACAGAAAAGGGTCACAAACAACCGGACAAGCCCGGAAGGAAAAGAGCAAAATCAACATCCAGATAAAAGCTGCCATTGTCACCTCCCCACGGGTCTCACCCACATCTGTGTCACCCCGTCCACGACCAAAAGACAAGCGCAGTTTCTTCACGTGTCTCTAGGCTCCATGTGCCTCCTCCAGGTCTCCTGGCTCCATTTTGCTTCCTTCCTTCCTCAGTCTCTTCTTCAGCTTCTCCTCTTCCTGCTCAGCTCCACCCTTCCTTGGGTGGGGCAGGGAACCTGGAACCTCCCCCTTTCCTGGGGACCACCCTGTTACAACTGTAGCACAAGTTCAATCCCCAGCCAGCCAGGGAGCTAACCCACATGTCTCACTCGCTGCTCCCCTCAGCAGTGTATTTCAGTCAATCTGCATGTTCTGCTTTCCACTCTGTCTCTGGTGAATCCTCTCACCCTCCCCCCTTACACTTCTGGCCTATACCCCAGGTCTTGTATGCATAAATAAATAAATCTTCTTAAAAATAAAATTAATAGCAAATCAAATGTTTTCTTTTCAAATGTTGCTTCCATCCTCACACTGATGCCAAGGTTTCCATGACTAGAGAACTCTAGTGGAAAGTAATTCACTAACGTGATGGTGGTTCAGTATTTACAAAACATTAGTTAACTTCATTTCATAAGCCCTCCTGAAACATCTTCAGTAGTTTCATAATGTGCCTGAAATAAAATAAAATGCCACACCTGCATCTTGCGTGAGTCTGTCTGTAAACACATCTTAGGTCACTGCTTCCTCTCCAAATACATCCATGCTGCATTCTTTCTGTTCCTTGAATATACTAAGCACATTTTCTGTCTCAGACCATTAAACGGGTGGTTGCCTCTTTCTGAGCCATTCTTTCTGATGTCCATATGCTGGTCCTTCTAATTCATTTCAAATTGAAAGCCTCTCCTTTAAGGGCCTTCCTTATTGCACCCCAAACTACCTACTTGTTTACTCCCAAGCACATCACTCTCTTTATTCTGTTCACAATACTTACTAGAATTGGTAATTATTTCAAGTATCATCTAACCCCCTATGTGTGCAGGGGCATGCATATACATAATGCACGTGTACACACACACACACACACACACACACACACACGAGAACAGGAAACTTTCTTACCTGGCTTACTGGTAAATTCCCAGCACCTAGAACAGTGTTTATACACTGTAAATATTTTTTAATGTTTTAATTTTTTTTAGTTTTTCCTTATCTTCAACAATCTTAGCAATGATTCCAATGGATAAGAGTTCATACATTAACCAGTAAGATTTGCTTTTCAGATCACTTGATCCATGACCACAGCAGCACATTAAATCTCTGAGTGAATCTGTAAAGCTAGATAAATAGAGCCCTATATACCTGATGGGAATTAATGACCAATACCAAAAAAGAGAGAGAAACACTCATAACCTTACTCACAACACTGAACACACAAAATGAAGATGAGAAAGAAGGGAAAGAATTCAAAGGAATCACTGAATAGGGAAGAGTTTGTATATGTAGCCACATGTCTTGGCTCCTTCTGCCTATAACATTATCTACTCACCTCCTCCCTGTTCGTGTCTATGTGTCTGCCAGCGCCATCTCCTTAGGAAAGTCTTCCCATCCCCAGGTCTAACTTACATTGTCATGAGTTTGCACAGAGATGTATCCATTTCTTTCAAAGCCTTCACTGAGGCTGACGATGGCATTACTAAGCAACTACCCCTCTCCCCACTAGAATATTAGCTTCACAAGAGTAGGAATGGGCTCCTTTTTTGCTCATAGTCATTTCCCAGCAAAATGTCTGGCATGTGCTCTACAAATACATTTTCAGTGAATAAAAGGAATGAATACAAACATTACCAGAGTTCTTGCACTTGAAATTCCTCCCGGGTTGGGAGACCCCTATCCTGAGTTCCACCAGTTTCTCTTGTAACTACCCACTCATTCAACACAAGTCCCCGAGTGCCAGGTGCTGTTTAAAGGTGTTGTCCTGGCGGCTGTGAGAGGAAGAATCAGATGCTGCAGCTGACAGGAGTTACTGACTCCAGAAGGCGCCCTGCCTTGAAGAGTCTTCGCAACAACTTCCATTAGTTACTTGAATTTTACAACTGAGAGTGAAAGAAAAGATTGAAAGAAAGCGATAGCATTTTGAATTATTGGCCTTAAGCTATAAATAAACTGTCAGAAATCCTAGGCAAAGAGCAGGTCTCAGAGAGAACTGCTTTCCAGGGTACAGCGGAAGGACAGGGCGGCCGCAGTGTCTGTGGCACCTCCATTCACAATTCTGCCTAAAGGCATTTTAACCAGTCATAGATGAAGTGGGACTGGTTAGAAAAACCCTAGTTGGAGAAATATTAATGAATTAGTGTTGTTAAGCAATGATAATGAAAACCTATTATTGGGTAAAGGCAACTCTGACTACTAAGGATTCAAAGTCAGTTCCAGGTGGGGATAAGGTCAGGATTCTGTTGTCTTAGGACTGTGGACCAGGACTTCCTCCCCAATACAATAAAAGACAGATTTCTGTGAATAATGGTGGCTCCATCTGCAAATAATGGTGGCTCCATCTGCAAATAATGGTGGCTCCATCTGACAAGAAGCGACTCCTAGGGTAACCACTGAGGGGAGGAGCCGAGTCTGAGTCTCCTTGGTGAGCAGGGCGTGCCCTGCTGTGTTCTTTCCAAGGACACTCTTTCTCCACCCCCTTCTCCTCTCTCCAACCTAATAGAGAAACAGCTTATTTTCAAGGGCAAGTACGTGTTATTCATATTGTTTCCATTTTCTTATATGCAGAACAATATCCCCACACCTGGCACTCATTGAATGATGATTTTAAAAATGAGATGCTTATATCTTGAGCCAAAATAAAATACTAGAAAGCTTTTGTTAACTATAAAGAAATCCCACATAGAAAATACTCCATACTTTTTGGGACAGACTTTAATAATGGAAATTGTAGGTATGATTTGTGTTTCCATAAGCAGCTATTAGACACCTCCAACAAATGTGCATAGAATAAACAGTCTTGACTGCAGTCCTGGCATGTAGCTGCACCGTCTATTATAGTTATGCTCTCAAAGGAAGCACCCTGGGGTCACCTGGGGACATCCACACAGAGACTGGAAAGACCAGAGAACCAGTGTCACAGCCCCCAGAGGAAGGACGAGACCCTTGGTGGGAACAAACCCAAGAATTTCACCTCACTAGTACCATGTTTTAGCTAGTAGAACCTATTTCAGCGTTAATGTCATCTCAAAGTCTCCTATCTCATGATCTCGCAAAAAGGTTACCTCTGCTGATGCTCCCATTGCAGCTCTTGTTTTCATTCCTGTGATGTGAGTGTGAGAAGCACGCACCAGCACAGGCCACAAAGGATCTGCAGGAAAGTCAAGAGCGACCCAACCTCGGTGATTCCTGGGTTCTTGAAACTAATACAAAAAAGAACTTAGTCCTAAAAAAAAAAAAAAAAAAAAAAACCCTACAGCCCTGCTATATCCAGTTTGTTTTGGGTTGGTCTGGTTTGCAGGGCTTTTGAATTAAGTTGCTCCCTGCCACTGCTAACTCTTCCTAATAAGGCTGAAATTCTGAGCACACCCGTAATTTCTTAATGTAACTTTTCTAACTCAACTAGAGCAGTGGATCCTCCATCTTTTAGCATGACAATGGCATTCTGCATCATAATGCTACAGTGTCATAAATTTTCCCCAAGCGTGTCATGAGTGCTCTATAGGGCATTCTGTACTCATTTTTTTTAAAGATTTATTTTATTTATGCAAGAGCTGGGGTACAGGCCAGAGGCACCAGAGGGTGAGAGGATTCACCAGAGATAGAGCAGAGAGCAGAACAGGCAGACAGGCCGAAAGCACAGCTGACGGGAACAGCAGGCGAGTCAGGAGAGGTCTGCTACACTATGTGGGTAGCTCCCTGGCCAGCAGGGAATCAAACCCGCGCTGTAGAGGCTGCAGACAGCTTCATAGCACTGTGCTCAATCGGCTGCGCTGCCAGGGAGGACCCATTTTGTACACATTTTTTAATGACCCTCAAAAAACTAAGTCCTGAGCAGGAGGATTAAAAATCTCTCAAGGAACTTTTTTCCTTCAACAGACTTTCCAGAATGAATGTGCTATGGGCTCTTGATTTGATTTCCTGACCCAGTTAAAAGCACTGTTTACAAGACATGTTTCATCTCCATTTTTCATCTTATAAATGATGTTTGCCTAAAATGAATGCCTATATTGGTTCAAAAGCAAAGTAACCAGTAATATTAGAGAGACTGTCTCATCACACGTGTCCACAAAGAGACATTCTTCTTTGATGCAACCAACACTACTGAACTTGAGTCAGAGAAAGGCTATGTTTCGACTATTATTCACAGGCTGCATGAACTGGATGAAAGGTATGGCAGCAAAAAGGTATTGCTGAGTTGTATTCCATGATATGGTTGCATAAGCACAGTTGATTTAACCAGTCATCCACAGAAGAACATTTGAGTTACTTTCAGTTTGGAGATATTACAAGTAAAGCTACTATGAATATTCACATGTAGGCATTTATGTAAACAATGTTTTTATTCCTCTGGGATAAATGCCCAAGAGTGAAATTGCTGGCTTATATGATCAGTGTATGTTTAATTGCTTTTAACTACCAAAATATCTTCCAGAGTACATACACCATTTGACATTCTAATCAGCAATACATAAGAGATCCAGTTTTCTTTCTCAGCCTACACCAGTATTTGGTGTAGACTCTATATTTCATTTTAACCTCTTTGATAGTTGTATAATTATATTTTGATTTTAATTTACATCTCACTAATGACTAATGATGCTAAACACCCTTTCATGTGCTTATATATCACCCATATATCCTTTCCAGTGGAATATCTGGTCATGTTATTTGTCTACTTAACTGGAATTGATTGGGGTTTTTTATTATTAAATTTTGAGAGTTCTCTAGAAGGTGCTTGTCAGAGATGTGATATGCAAAAATTTTCTTCCAATTTGTAGCTTATCTTGTCATCTTCATTATGGGGTCTGTCACAAAAGAGAAAAATGCTCATTTTGGTTAGGTCGTTTTTCATTTTTTCCTTTTATTAATCACTCTTTTGGTGTCAAGTGTACAAACTCTGCCTCACCGTGGGGTTCAAATATGTGTTTCCTATGTTTTTTCTGAAAGTTTTATAGATTGACATTTTCTATTTATAATTGACATTTTAAGTTAATTAGAGGGGCTTCGTTTGACTCATTTATTTACCTAAAGGTACCAAATGGCCCCAGTACCATTTGCTGTAAAGTCTGTTCGTTCATTAAATTGTTTTTGTGCTGTTGTCAGTATATCTGATATTACTGGGTATACTTATAGAATAAGAGGTTTTTTAATAAGAAATATCAAAATTCCTATTTCTCTGATATCTGTTCTACAATAAAAAGTCTTGACTTTTAATCCAAATACAGTATTATTAGAGACCTAGAGTCTTTTCTATCCTTGATGGTATAATCAGGCCTATAATATATTCATAGGTTCAGAATAATAATTATAGCTATATAAAGTACATAAAACCAAAAATAGATCACTTGACTATAAAGCAAACAGTCAGGCCTCCCCTGGTGGCACAGGCAGTTGAGCATTGCACTGTGAAGCTGTCTGCAGCCTCTGCAGCGTAGGTTCGATCCTGGCTGGCCGGCGAGGGTCCCACATGGCAAAGCAGACCTCTCCTGTCTTGCCCGCTACTCCCCTCAGCAGTGTATTTCATCAGTCTGCCTGTTCTGTTCCCCACTCTGTCTCTGGTGAATCCTTTCACCCTCCCTCACATCTGGCCTGTACCCGGTTCTTGTATTAAAAAAAAAAAAAAAGGCAGTCAACATCAGGCATCTTGGTATGTGGGGGGGTCACATGTATCAAGCCAGGCAGGCTGCAATTGTCATCCTGTCATGGTCATTTTTCTTAAAAGAACATGGTCTCTTTTGAATAACACTGCAAACTCTCAACACATCAAAGCTATCATGTGGTGCTCAAAGCTAGACAGAGCAGACAAATCACTAAACATTCGACAAACATTTACTTACAAGCTACCAAAAGCCACACATTGCACTGGGTGCTAGACTTACAGCAATAAATTTCAAAACAAAAACCATGCCCTGGAGGAGTTGATGCTCTAGAAGAGGATACCATGGTAAGGGAGCATCACGTGTTAAGTAAAAAAATACGTGTGACATGTCAAAAAGCGTTAAGCATTATTTAAAAAATACAAATCAAGATAGAGGGTGGAGCTGAGAATTTTGCTCTTTACAGAGGTCTTTGAAGATATGAGACATTAGTGATGAATTGAAACTTGCAAGCAACTAGTGGGAGATTGTTCCAGACAGAAGGAACCAAAAGTGAAAAGAACTCTGTGAGAGCAAAGTGCTCAGTCAGAGGAATAGGAAATTGGTTTTTATGAGCTAAGGAGGGTGATCTAAGGCAAAGAACAGACACCAAGAAAACCATGATCATGCACATGTTATAGGTTGTAACCCCAATTTGTACATTTTGATCAAGACAGTCAAATAAAGATAACATGAAAAAGGCCTCATTGTGGGCCTCGCTTGTGGCACAAGGGGATAAGATGCAGCACTATGAAGCTGTTGCCAGCCACTGCAGCACAAGTTAGATCCCTGGCCAGGGAGGTGAACCACATGACACAGCAGACCTCTCCTGACTTGCCTGCTGCTCCTCTCAGCAGTGTATTTCACTGTTCTGCTCCCCACTCTGTCTCTGGTGAACCCTCTCACTCCCTGTACCTCTGGCCTGTACCTCAGTTCTTGTATGCATAAATAAATAAATCTTTTTTTTTGAAAGCCCTCATTGTACTTGGTTTCATTGGTTCTGTCAATAACCTGCTACATGACTTATGGGACATCACATGCACACCTATTATGAGCAATGGATAATAAGTCCCTGGAATGCAAAGCAAGATAGAATACAGTCCCTATACTTGGTGCTTTCACAGGATATTGGGTGTGGGAGAACATTCCATGACAGCATAATGCCTGTGTGTGACAATTAAATATTTGTGAACATAGAATAAGAAGCTGTGAAAGCATGGAAGAGAAAGTCTTAGGATTGCTGAGTTAGGATGGGGATATTGGTAAATGTTTAAAAGAATGTTTGAATTGGACCCTGAAGAATGAGTAAGAGATAGGAAAAGACAGAGAACACTTCAGAGAGAGGAACAATAACAGCAAAGGCATGTAACTTCATGACTTATTCCTGTCTCCACTGCTTTAAAAAAGTATTATTCATCTCCTACTCATGGAAATGTGCTCTGATGACCAGAATTATCTGTTTGGTTGGATATGGTTCAACAGAAAAGAATGCCATGCTAACTAAAAGTGTGACGATATTATGATGCTGGGGCACATTATCTCAAAATTTACTTAATGGACTCAAAATGCTCTAACCCCACACTTAGCCTATTGATTCTGCTTCATTCTCTTTCATTGGGCAAATTGGCCTATTTTTTCTCTAGTCATCCTCACTGTGACTTCTGCCTTTGAGTATTTTAAGAAACACCCCACTCATTGCTGAGACTGACCACATTCCATAATCTTAGGCTTGAGGGTCCTCTCTGATGACTCCAATTAAGAAACTGAATTGCTTTTTAAATAACTACTATTATTACTTACCACATGCCAAGAATGTGTGAAGCTCTGGGCAGGAACAAGAAAAACTTCCCTCCCTGGACCTCTATTAAAGGAACAGATGTCACTAGGGAGACAAGTTCCAAAACAAGAAATATTTGGAATATTTAGCAGAACTGACCATAGAAATGTCTCCTCCAAAGATGCCACAACTAGGCTGAGGATACACTAAATAAAATTCTGTGAGAGATTTGCTTCTCTACATGTTTAGTATCCTCTTTGAAGTGCAAATATCTAGGAAACAGTAAGACTTCTGATAGTCCTCAGATAAAAGCCACAACTTTAGAAGAAAGGTTTCCAGAAGTAGTGACCCTCAACAGGCCATCTCTGTGAGCCTGTTGTGCACATTGTAAGCCAGGATAAGATGAACTATACAAGGAAGAGGTAGGTGGGAACCAGATACAAAATGTGTCTTTTTCCCAGTTTTGCATTCTTTTGTAATCAAGTTATTGCTATTTTTTTAACTTTTATTATGTATTTATTGAAAGCTTATTTATCCTTTCAACAAATGACCAAAGCTATTCATATAGGGAACACACATGCGGTCACTATCAACCAGAATTTAAAATATTTAATGACATGGAGAACCACTCACAATTAACTATGGGAAAAAACAGCTAAAACACACACACACACACACACACACACACACACATACATGCAGATAATCACATGGAAGGAAAAGAAAATACACCAAAATGTTACTGGTGGTGACCTGCAGAATGTGTTTCTCATTCTGTTGACTTCTTTTAATTTCTACAATGAGCACACTTTCCCATGAAGAGCAATAACACAACTTATTACTCACATGGGGGAAAATTCCCTCTGATATTAATCCTATGTCCACTTACCTGGATTTTAGCAACAAGACTTCACACCAGTCACCACGGCTGTGCTGAAATTCAACATCGTTGAGGCTACCTCGCCCCTAGTCAATGATTTTCTGCTCCTGCGGCTCCTGGCACATGCCCACTTGCACCCCTGGCCAGAGGCTCCTCGCCTGGCATGGTGTGGTCTCACTATCTGGCCTGGAATATGCACCATGGTCAAGACAGAAAGAGCTTTTAAAGGCCCATGGCTTAAAATGATATGATGAGATATTCTAAAGGAAATGATGAAAGGTGGACTGAATGTTCTGAGCCAACAAAACAGAATGAAGTTTGAAAATGAGTTTCTTTTTTTTTTATTTTTTAAAGAGTTATTTATTTATACAAGAACCGGGGTACAGGCCAGATGCGCAGGAGGGTGAGAGGATTCACCAGAGACAGAGCGTGGAACAGAACAGGCAGACTGACGAAATACATTGCTGAGGGGAGCAGCGGGCGAGACTGGAGAGGTCTGCCGTGCCATGTGGGACCCTCACTGGCTGGCTAGGATCGAACTGGTGCTGCAGAGGCTGCATACAGCTTCACAGTGTGGCGCTCAACCGCCTGCACCACCAGTGGAGGCCCAAAAATGAGTTTCTTTTTACTTGGATCTATTATTTATTTTTCATGGATCTAATATGACTTGTAGGTCAAGAGCCATTGTCAAGCCCAAGATTCAAAAAATTGTCTCAAGATCTGATGAAATTTACAATATTACAGCCCCCAAACATAATTTTAATATTTTAAATGCATAGTAGAAAAGAATTATATTAAGTAACATTTTTTAAACCACCACCACAAAAAAATAAATATATAGTAGTATTGGATGTACAAGTTGACGGAATGAGCTGAAACTGTTTTCAGTGGTGTTTATAACTTTAATCATTGATTTCTACCCATACAGTCACAGTGATCACATGCTTACATACATGCACATGTGCATATATATACACACTTGCATTATACTTATACACCCACATCCACATACATCCACAGAAGTACATAAATAGCTACATGCATTATACATGCATCCCATATGCACATATACATACATATATACACATGCATGCATTACATATGAACTTAACATTCACATTACCAATACTCAACTACCTGTCCTTTTTCATATGATCCAAGAACATCAGCACTTGTCTACCAAATAACTTTTGAGTTTCCCCCAGGAGCACAAGCAGTCATGGACAATCTACATTAAAGATACTAACACAACTCCAGCCGCTGCTCTTCACTGGGTCTAACCTGACATCACCACCACCTAAGTCAGGGCTCCCTTTGTTCTATCACAGACAAGTTACACACTCAGAGAATTCAACTGGGACATATGGTGTTGTAGCAACACTGACAAGGTCATTCTGTGAGTAACGAGCCCACAGTAACCTCAAATGAGTGATAGGAAACTTGGGGCCTCAATAGTGCCTTGCTTCCTTGTTGGGAAAGGTCTGGACAATAATCACAGTGCCTAGGTTTCTAAACAGTGGTGTGATAGGGACTTGGCCACAATTATCAGCTACTCTAATAATCATCCATGCATGCAGTTAGGTCCTTCTTCAGTCAGACACGAGGCCAGCACAAATTTAGCAAAATCAGGCATGAAACACGGTAACGATGGAAGTAAAGAGCATTCACTCCAGGGGGCACAGAAGGAAAACTTACAATGATGCCACAGAGAATATTTGACCAAGCCACCAAAATGTTCCAGAAAAGATCTAAGTCCCACCTCTGAAAAGAACCTTTCAGACCATTTCACATATGTCAGGTAACTGAGACTTTTTGGTTGAACTCACAGTAATTGTGGAACATCCTATTTCTAAATGAAGTGTGTCTTACGGTTCATTTCAAACCCCACAATGTTGTAGCACCTTTATTTTTCAAATGAAGAAAAACACCACACACGCGAATCACATGTGTTCACTGAATTTTAAATATACATGTTTTTCCACTTGACATTAGATTTTCTTTCAGATATTGTAATTTAAAATCACTAAAGACCAGGAGTGATGAATATGTTTTCCTCAGTCATTTCAACCTCGATGTTACCACCTCCCTCATTCCACATCCACTGATTTCTTAGTTGGGTCAACTTTAGTCTAATTATCTGAGATTTGTGATGGCTGGGGACAAGAAAAATGGCATGAATTAAAAGGGCATGAAATGAGTTTTGGAGGAATCCATAAATGAGTCTAATTTCCTAGTACTTAAACAAGAAAGAGAACCCCAACATGACCTGCAGTCTTTAAAAAACTTCCTATTTCCATTTTTTTTAATGTTTTTTCTCTTTAAATTCTGAACTTCCTATATTCAAAATGCAGAAGAAAGTTGTCAAGTCCTCTGCTTGCCTCTTATTTTTTAGGAATTGTCAAGTTTATTATCCTTTTAAGTCTAGATATGAAAAAAAAGTTGCTTTGATGTTTATTTGGTTGGTTTTAATATTTTTTACATTTTCTATATTTTTGCACCTATTGGGAAACAATACCATGATAAAAAGAACAAACAGGAACCCCACACCTGACCACAGTACAAAAATCTTGGTCTCAAATATCACACAATTGGCTGACCTGGGATTTTTTCCCCGTATGGCCCAACAGCTGTGTGACTCACTGCTCTGTGTTCTGCCTGCCTTAGCACCGAGTGGATTGGTGTAAATAGGAAGTGATGAGGAAAATCAATTTGGGGCAAACACATTTTGTCAAGGCTGTAACAGGAAAAGATAGGAAGCCCAGGAAGATACTTGATAGATATTCAACTCTGTAGAAAGGAGGAAGTAGCATGTTGAAGCACTAGGCTAGTTATTTTGAGTTGTTGAACGGAAACGGGATACAGCAGAGAAAGGACACAGATAGGAGGCATTTTGTTGCATAGCAACACAGAGGCTAGAAGCCACTGTACATAACTGACACCATCTGTCTGTATGAAAGACTGAGAAGTGGTCATTTAAAACAAAGAAAAAGAAAAATGAGGTTAATAATTAAGTTTGCAGAGAATATATGAGGTGCAGAGAATATATGAGGTTCCATTTTCCTTTTAAAAAGCATATTTGATGGTTATATAAAAATAATTCCATTAATACTTAAACATTATTTTGAAGAGTTCATTTTAATACATGAAACATGATGCCTTTACTACCACCCTCCTTTGTACCACACTCTGCTTTGGCTCCAGCACTTCTCTCAAAACTTTCCAGAAAGGAAGCTGTCTGGAGGTTCCTCAGTCTACTAAAAATGGAGCTACCATATGACCCAGCAATTCCACTACTAGGGATCTACCCAAAGGACACAAAAACATTGATTCAAAAGAACACCTGTACACCTATGTTTATTGCAGCACTATTTACAATAGCTAAAACCTGGAAACAACCCACATTCCCAAAAATAGATGACTGGATCAAGAAGATGTGGCATGTATACACAATGGAATATTATTCAGCAATCAAAAGAGATAAACTCATGCCATTTGCAGCAACATGGATGGAACTAAAGGAATTATGTTCAGTGAAACAAGCCAGAAGGAAAAAGAAAAATATTGGATGGTTTCACTTATAGCAGGAATATAGGGGAACCCAATAAGACATCAATGTAAAAAAATAGTAACAGTACAAAAAACAACAAAGCAAAAACAGACAATTATGAATCAGAGACTCACTGCAGGGGAGGAGGAGGGAGAGGGATCAGAGGGAGGGAGGGAGGAGCACATGGGACTGAGGTGATGGTGCCGGGTGCATTGGTGAAGGAAACTCTATGGGGACTACCCCTGTGGGGGTGGGAGGGAGCAAATATTGTTTAAAAATGAACTAGATGTAAAAAAAAATTAAAATGAGAGATTTTTTAAAAAAAACTTTCCAGAAAGGTTGATACAGGGTGAGGTTGTGCAGTGAGAAGTGTCTATGAACTTTGGGAGACCCAATTCAGTCCTAAAAGTCAGTGTCCAATAAAATTAGCAGTCAATGGAAACTCCCAGATAGTAATGTACCAATGGAGCAAGACTGCACATAGGAATGCTTAGGACTAGGGCTTTGCTGCATTGTGGATGAGAAAATATGATGTCTGATCTGAGCAGACCAGAGGATAACATCAAGGACATGGTAAATAGTGTCTAGGTTCCAAAGAATAGGCATATGCAGTGACCTCCCACCAGCTCATCCAGCTTGAAATATGTGAGGGTCTCAGTCAGTGGTAACCTCATTACCAACAGCCCTCAAGGGTCCCTTAGTGGGAAAGATAAGTTGGGGCTAAATGAACTTGGTCTGGCCAGAACTTCCTGGTAAAGCATCCCCATAGCACTGGAACCTTCTGAATTCTATGTGGCTAAAACTAAAGAGAATTTCAATAAATGAGAGTTAAAAAAAAAAAAAAAACAGGGCCTCCCCGGTGGCACAGCAGTTGAGCGCTGGGCTATGAAGCTGCCCGCAGCCTCTGTAGTACCGGTTCGATCCCTGGTCACTGGCGAGGGTGTCTCATGGCGCACAGACCCCTCCTGCCGTTCGCTGCTCCCCTCAGCAGTGTACTTCGTCAGTCTGCCTGTTCTGCTCCCTGCTCTGGCTCTTGTGAATTCTCTCACCCTCCTGAGTTTCTGACTGTACCCAGTGCTTCTATAAATAAATTAATTAATTTTAAAAAATTATTAAAAAAAACAACAGCACAGTGGTTAATTAAAGACACATCAATGGGTTGGGGATGGGGAATAAGAAGTTCAACCCTATCAAAGATAAAACCCCTCCTTCCGGTCCTGTGAGTTCCCCAAGAGAGCTTTCTGGGAAGTCTTTTGGTCAAGCAGAGAGACATGGAGCCATACATGATACTATTTCTTCCCTAGGAAGCCTCTAGTGCTAGTAGGGAAATGTGCAAAGTGGATAAGTTCTTCCTTTCAAGACAGGAAGTGCTCTTCAGAAATAATGTTCTATTTCCTGCTGCCAAAGCCTATCAGCCCTTGGCTCATTCTGCTCTATAGAAATGTACTAGCCTACTTCCTTCCCTTTACCCTTAATATGTCCCAAAGTTGCCCCTTTCTCCACCATACAAAACTACCCAACAACACATTCCCAGAGACTGTGCCTCTGTTGCCCTCCTCTTACACTGACTGGCAATTGCATTTTTGCGTCTCTCCCACAGAGGGATTCAGCTGAGGAGACAAAGGATC